GGGGAACGTCCAGACTAGCGGTGAGCCAACAAATAGCTGATCAACTGTTTGTCGGCTCAGCGTGGCAGCCATGTAAATGTAAATGAAGCCGCGATCATTTAAATCGCGGCTTCATTTACCTTTGCTGAACAAACAAATCTACATGCCTCTGCCAACAGAGGCATGTAGTGTAGACATACCCCTACGGTCCAAGGCCTCACCCTTTGTGGAAGCATAGAGCCACCCCAACCACACCTTGCCCAGGGGCCCACGGGGGCTCTTGGCACCTCTGGCCATTTGACAGAAAGACTTTCAGACTAATGCAGCCATTTTGAAATCTTTTTATAACTTTTTGTAGCACAAACACATTTCATTTCATGAACACCCAGAGGTGCTTAACCTGCCCTCACTTGACTACCCTTGCTACTACCCCTCCACTTCACTTGTCTGTATAGTTAGATTTTCAGTTGCAGTTGTTTATGCTTGTCATATGCAACTCCTGAGATGTTGTTCCATGATCTTGCAGGACTCCTGGTCTGTATCTCATGTTAGGGTTTACTGTCTTCCATAACTTAACTTCCAAAGTTCTTAAATTGGTCAGTCTGAGTTAGTCATATTCCATCAATCTCTTCATCCAGTTTCCCTGTGGCATCTCCACTGATCCACGTGATTTCAGGAATAGGCAAGTTCATACCTATTTATCTGGCCTTGATACTTGGCTGCTGGGAATTAGTACAAGTTCATTGACTTCATTAATTTACTTTAACTGAGGATATGGCCTAGTGATCTTTTTGAATAGTTAGTGGAGTACAACATATTCCCATACTGCAAGAGAGATACATAGTTTGAAAATAAGAGATGGAAATATGTGCTGTAGTGGAATCCAGTTAATACCTAACAATATAGTCAGCATGGATTCATGAAGGGCAAGTCGTGCCTGACCAGTCTGACTAGCTTCTATGATGAGGAAACTGGCTCTCTGGATGTGGGAAAGTAAGTGGACGTGATATACCTTGACTTTAGCAAGGCTTTTGATATGGTCTCCCACAATATTCCTGCCATCAAGTTAAGGGAATGTGGATTGGATAAATGGACGGTAAGATGGATAGAACGCTGGCTGGAAGGTCAGGCCCCGTGGGGAATGAACAACGGCTCGATGTCAGGATGGCAGTCAGTTTCTAGCGGAGTGCCCCAAGGTTCGGTTCAGGGATTGGTTTTGTTCAACGTCTTTCTTAATGACCTGGATGAGGGGATGGATTGCACCCTCAGCAAGTTTGCAGATGACAGTAAGCTAGGGGGAGAGGTAAATACACTGGAGGGCAGGGATAGAGTCCAGAGTGACTTAGACAAATTGGAAGATTGAGCCACAAGAAATCTGATGAGGTTCAACAAGGAGAAGTGTAGAGTCCTGCACTTGGGATGGAAGAATCCCAAGCCTTGTTACAGGCTGGGGACCAACTGACTAAGTAGCAGTTCTGCAGAAAAAGACCTGGAGGTTACAGTGGATGAGAAGCTGGATATGAGTCAACTGTGTGCCCTTGTAGCCAAGAAGGCTAATGGCATATAAGGTTGCATTAAGAGGAGCATTGCCAGTAGATCCAGAGATGTGATTATTCCTCTTTATTCAGCTCTGGTGAGGCCACATCTGGAGTAGTGTGTCCAGTTCTGTGCCCCCAATTACAGGAAGGATGGGGATGCATTGGAGAGGGTCCAGCGGAGGGCAATCAAAATAATTAGGGGGGCTGGAGCATATGACCTACGAGGAGAGGCTCAGGGAGTTGGGTCTATTTAGTCTGCAGAAGAGAAGAGTGAGGGAGGACTTGATAGCAGCCTTCAACTTCCTGAAGGGAGGTTCCAAACAAGCTCTTCACAGTAATGATGGATGGC